ATTACCTACGCTTCTTTTATCATCTTGTTTAGAAAATTTCGTTCTCGGTGTATTCCTTCATATGGTTATATATATTCTTTTATGTGGGAATTTAGTCGACAAGTACTTTTCGAGATGACTCAGCATATGAAAGTTGTTATGTAAAGTTCTCCACCATAGCTTCTTCCTTCTGTTTTCGATAAAAATTTCCTTTGTTCCCGAATGACCACGACCTACAATCAACATTTTCACAGCCTTCCATAAAACTTCTTCACCTTCTCCGCATTTAATATTACTTAGGCTCTTGGCAGGGTACCAAATCGCGGCACCTTCATCTTTAATCCAATTGATTCGCAGTTTGACGTATGCATTTTTTCTTTCGAGCACGTCCAATATAGCAGTATATTTTGTAGCTGACAGGCCTTTTCATCAAACATAGCCATATCATCAGAGATTCTTTCAGGCCGTAAGCTTCTCGAGACCGAAACACGGCCGCCGTTGATCAGGAGGCCAGCATGCAACAAGGAAGAACAATATGATCACAAGTTTATTTTGGAGAGAGATATTTCTTTCCACGATCAGAGGCAGGTACCATAAAACAAGCTGCGGATGCAACAAACATCACAAATTAGAGACGTTTCGCTTATGCAGGCAATTCTAGGAGATAATCTTAATAAAAAGTAACAACAAACACCTCAGCGCCATGTTTTTTTTTAAGAACTGATGCGTTCGTTCACGCTGTAATGATGTGGAATTAGCAATTGAGTATGATACACAGATTATCTGAGCGGCGAGTTATCTGCGGCCATGTGATTATGAATAGCTTCCGTTCGGTCTTCTGAGCTGTTCCCAAATCAAACATCCCGGGTAGCACAGTGTTTTGCGTTAATTAGCTTAAAAATCATTGTAGTATAGATGAAAGTGAATTGGCTCGAGAATATCTGAATGTTCCTATGCCATACTGTTATTAGCGATCTGCTTTATATAAGTGCTGTAGTGTAGAATATTTCGATTATTATTATAGCACGCCTAGGAACGGAAACTTTTCAGTTATCATGGAATTACACAAAAAAGGTGATCAATCTCCTTGGACGCAGTGTAGAATCAATATGAGAATGGAAAGCTTTCACAGGAAGTGGTTCAGAATTTCAAAACACTGGTGTGTTGTTCACGAGAGTCCAAGTTTTTACAATTACTACTTTCCAGCTTCATAAACTGGTTCCTGTCTTTTTCCTCTGAGTGAAGAGATTTCCGTTAGCGCCCACTGCCGAATTCGTTCCAGGTGGAATCGTACCTGACGTGTTGTAAGCGAGTTGCTCTTTTGTTTCCACTGTTCAGAAGAAGCAATGCCTTCACACTACCGAATGGTGTCCTCGTCATTTTTGCGCAAATCTTCGGCGCCACTATGTCCACAGTATGTAGAGTGACTGAAGCAGGTTCTAATTACTGACTTTTAACGTCTATCTCAGTCCCTTAACAGCCTCTGCGGCCGATGATAACGTTGGAGTCGAGTGAAGTCCTGGAAGAGTAAATGCTATTAAGTGCAAGTGATTGAGTTTGACTTTAGAGCATGTCACTGTATCCAGCCATCGTCCTTTCTCAACTGCAATTGGTTCCGACAACGACAGACTTAATGCGTTAGGTTAAAGTATAATTTCTGAAACTCATTTCACTTCTGTCTTCATTAAACTGACATTTCAGTGAACATACGGACGACAGCCTTATACGCAACTGTCTAAGTTGCACTTAAGCGACATTAGCCATAATCAAGGCAAATACTGTGTGTGTAACAGCATCAATTCTACTGATGAGTGACATCCATCAGTTTCATAACATCTAGAACCATTGAGGTACCAGTTTAAACCATAATTTTCTAACTCAATTTAGTTTGTAAAGCTTATTTTACTTTGATAATCACAAAAATGATCAACTTTTTTTTAACAAAATGAATAGCAGTTATGCAATTAAAGTCTCACATGCGAACCTCACCTTGATTATTACTTTATGTCACCATCACAATCTTTACGTACTGTAACGTTTGAAATACACGCAGGTGATGCATTGGTCTTTATCTAAGAAGACAGGGATAGAACGGGACATAACGTGCTGAAAAGACTTAGTTATTAATGCACTTTTTTAACCGATGACATTGGTTGCGTAGTAAGCAAAGAACAGGTAATTGTAATTCGTCGTTTGTGTGCTGGTTTTGCTGGAACATTTCGTTGGTCGGTGGTCGTCGATTTGCACGTGTTCATAACATGTGTCTGTATGTTTCAATACATTTCCTCTCTCCGATGCGTTATTTATGTACAGTGTAGTTTAGTTGTCGTTTTTAATATTACTGCTATTTCATATTGTTTTTGCTTGCAGTCGTTCGTTCTCCCGTTTCACGTGTCGTCGCCTGAAGTCGAAGTTACTCCTTCAGGTTGGGCAAAGCGTTTAGTAAATACCTGAAATTGAACGGCAGAAGCAAGGTGAGTGTCAGTTCCAGGTTGTGAGTTCTCGGATGACGAGTTAATCAGTGACTTCGGTGTCTAAAACGGTAAATTGCTGTATAGGACGCTGCCCAGATCGCGACCGCGAAGCTCTCGATCATCACCTCAACGACAGCTGCGACGACGACGACCATGGACGTCACGGAACCAATGGAAACAGGTATGAGCTGTCGGCCGGCCAGCCGCTTCCGTTGGTCATGTTACATGGGTGTGTTGTGACCGTTCGTAAGACGGCATCGACACCTTTAGTTCCGCTGCATTTAGAGTGCACTTTTTTCTAGTAGATGACATAGCGGTGTTGTTTCGACTGGTATTCCGATGGTTTTACCTGTTCATGGCCATCTGTAGTTCCCGAATCTTGTATTCATGGTTCGGAGGACATCTAAAACTAGACGCACGCTTGTATGTTAAATACAAAAGATATTGGACTCGTTTCAGCAACGCCCTTTGTGAAACATTCTGAAAGTGCGATGGTCCCAATCGAATGAGGAGTGTAAAAAGATCTTCGAGATGACCTACCTCAGAATGCTATCTGAAGAAATCAAGGACTAAAGGGTGTACGTCGTGGTTCGACAGAGCCATCCGATGATAAAGTTGAGACCTCTGTTAAACCATTCTCATATGGGAAGCAAAAAATTATCGCAGATACGTCAGAGGCCAACAACACACCCTAAAGTAGCTGCTAGATGCGAACTTGTTTGCGACAAGAAACCTGAGAAATCACTTTGAGAAGCCGGAGTCTCAGACGTCATTAATTAACGTGGGTACTCGGTCTTCGACCGTGATACCTTAGATGATAACGATAACAGTATTAAAAATTATACTAATATTGTCTTTAGTGCTAATGTGGCAAAGTCAGACATGGCCTTTCACGGCACATACTTCTCAGATGACACATTAACAACTTTATCCTGCAGCAGTATGACTGTGAATATGTGTCAACGCTGCATTACGTTGGTATACTCGAA